TCATCAAAAACCACAATGGAGTGCAAAAGCCTATCTATTATGTGAGAAGAGTATAGAGGAGCAAAAATCAGATATTTGGGGCTAGAGAAGCTAGCATTCGCCCTCATCTCAACAGTAAGGCGTTTACGACATTATTTTCAGAGTCACACCATTGTTGTTGTCATAGACCAGCCTCTAAAGAGAGTTTTAGGAAAGCTGGACATATTTGGAAGACTCTTTAAGTGGGCAGTAGAGCTGGGTGAGTTCAATATCCAGTACCAGCCAAGGGCGGCCATCAAAGCACAAGTCTTGATAGATTTTATTGCTAAGCTTACACCAATAGAGGAGCCCACCATATTTCAGACATCGACCCCGGGCACACAAAATAATCTAACGCCCAGCAAGGACACCCAGGCGCCTAGACCTCCACCTCAGGCGCCCTGGCATTCCTAGGTGCCCAGATCTCCACCTTAGGTGCCTATCTTGGCACCCAAATCTCCACCTCAGGTGCCCAGACATCCACCTCAGGCACCCCAAGAGCCCAGCCTATCGCCTAGGCTTCCACGGTGATTGTCAAGCCCTCCTTTCTACCACTCTAGAAACTCTATGTGGATGGCTACTTGACCAGTGAAGAAGGTGGAGCAGTCCTGATCCTGATTAGCCCCGACGACACTCCTATCAAATATGTAGTGAAGCTCCACTTCATCGCCTCTAACAATGAGGTGGAATGTGAAGCCTTCTTCTATGGCCTAAGGTTGGCAATCGAGATGGAAGCCTAACACCTCGTTACTAATAGTGATTCACAGCTGATAGTTAACCAAGTTAGGGGAGAGTTCGAAGCAAAATGGGCCAAAATACAGGAGTACCGCAGTATGGTAAAAGGCTTGATCGCGAAGTTCCAACCTTTCTAGATTTGTCACGTCCAAAGGGAGGACAACATGGTCGCAGATGCACTCGCCAGACTTGCCTCATCTTCTGAAGCTCTTCTAGGTCCTACATTCATTGGTTATTAATTTGAACCAAGCAAGTTAGACGTATAAGCCACAAACATCAACTGTATGTCCACTAAATCAAATTGGATGACCCTGATAAGGGCATACCTCAAAGAGGGTGCATTGCCAGATGATCCCTTCGAGGCTAGGAAGCTCAAGATAAGAGCTTCCAATTTACTATCTTACAAGATACCTGTACAAGAAAGGCTACTCCTTGCCATTACTACGGTGTCTTTCGCCTAAAGAAGTTAACTATGTCCTGTAGGAGATCCATGAAGGAATTTGTGGGAATCATTCTTAAGGACACTCCTTCGCCCACAAGGTGCTTAGACAAGGCTACTTCTGGCCTAGAATAGTGAGGGATGCCTAGGAATTCACCAAAAAGTGCAACAAGTGTTATCACAAGTCTGTGGCCTTTCTCTAAATGGGGCATCAACATCCTAGACCCCCTACCTCTCAAAAGAGGACAGTGCAAGTTCGTGGTGGTAGTGGTGGACTACTTCACTAAATAGGCGGAGGCCGAACCCTTGACAAAGATAATAGATGCAAAGGTGAAAGATTTTATTTGAAAAAATTTGGTCTGTGGCTTTGAGATACCCCACACCATTGTCAGCGACAATGCCAAGCAGTTCAACAACAAGCTCCGGAACTCCTTTTGCTCGACCTTCAAATAAAGCAACCCCATTCCAGCCTAGTGCACCCGCAGGCAAACGGACAAGCAGAAGTCATGGTGAGAATCGTGTTACGCAACCTAAAGACAAGGCTCGAAAGAGCGAAGGGTCTTTGGGTTGACGAATTCCCAAGTATACTGTGGGCCTATCGGACTATGCCAAGAACTCCAACTAGAGAAACCCTTTTCTCTCTTGTCTTTGGAACTGAGGCAGTTATCCCTATGGAGATCGGGGTGCACTCTCTAAGGGTTTAACACCACGACCCCATCACCAATGAGGAATGACTTCGTATCAACCTCGACCTGATAGAGGACGTAAGGGAGATGGTTGTGGTCCACAACATGGTGTACAAGCGCCGCATGACAAAGTGCAACAACTCGAGGGTGAAGTCTCGTTCCTTCCAACCAGGAGACTTGGTCCTAAAGAAATTAATCCTCACCACAAAGGATTCGTGAGAAGGGAAGTTGAGACCAAACTGGGAAGGACCCCACCTCATAACAGAAGTGGTGAGACAAGGCACCTACAAGATCTAGAATTCTGAGGGAAGGTCTTACCTCACCCATGGAATGTTGAGCACCTGAGAAGTACTATCAGTGGCACCTTAAGAGAGTAGAAAAGTTGAGGACTTAGTTTTTATTTTTTGTACTTTTTTTTGGGGGCTATTACCCAATATTGCTTGACATGAACAGTGAATAAATAAAATTTTCTAGATTTATTCCAAAAAGATATTTTCATTTTTTTATTCAACTTCAAAGGAGCACCAGTGGCAAAAATCACTTTTACAAAATAGGGCTACAAAATTCTTTCCTAAAAAAAAAATGAAAGGTCCCTAGCACTCTAACTACTCTTATGGTCGTCGTCATCGTCCTCATCATCACCCTCAGCATTGTTAGAGTCTCCATCACTATCATCAGGCACCTCAGTTGGCAAAAAGCTTGAGACATCAATATCAGGGAAAACAACATAATTCTTTCCTCAGAGCTCCTCATAACCATTAATATAGGCATCTATAAGGCCATTCTTCAAGTCACTCTCAGCCATGACAGCCCTCTCCTTAACCTAAGAAGCTCTCTCATGAGCTACCTTCACCTTTGCCTCTGCGGCAGCCTCTCTGAGCATGGCCCTCTCACAGGCCTCCGCAAGCTCAGCCTTTCTCAGGGTGTCCCTCTCACGAATCGTCACAAGCTCTGCCTTAAGCTTGGCTGCTCTCTTATGGGTTGCCGGAAGCTCAGTCTCAAGCTTAGTCGCCCTCTCATGGGTCGCCACAAGCTCAGCCTCAGAAGTTCTACCAACAGCTTCAAGCTTAGCGATCCTCCCCTGAGCAGCAATGAGCTCCTTTTGCATACTTTATGATTCTGTTTCAGTTGGCTGTGACAATAGGCCCTTCAAAGTAAACACATAGATGTAATAGAAGCCTGGAGAAAGATAAAAGTCAAAAGAATGTCAAAAGCTTAAGAAAGGACTGGAGACAACAGACCCTTACTTGAGTTAGGCCTTCCAAAAAAGGGTTGACGATTCCCTCAGTGCCTAGAGCACTAATCTCGCTAACATCGTTGGGAAACACAAACCTCCCAAGTTGATCCTTTATTACTAGCGCATTACCCAACTTGGAGCTAATCTGAATCGGTGCCCTTCTAAAAGTTCCCATAGAAGGAATGGATGAACAGGGGGCAGAAAGTGTGGCCAACAAGGGGGACTTTGGAGTAGGAGATGCAACTAAAAGAGTCTCCGACTGAGGAGGCACCATTGGAGGGGTCACTTGATGGGAACACGCTCGAGGTACCATCAGAGGGGTTGCTTGAGGAGAGCACACCTCGGGCAACACCATTGGAGAGGTTAATTAGGAGGCATCGCCCATCCTCACCACCTCAGGAGGAGGAGGGCTACTACTAGAGAGACGGGACCCAACCACCGTTCTATCCACTGCACAGGAAATAAAGTGTTGTTCCGATGAAAAACACCAAGTAAAAGGGAAAAGTACAAGAGAATCAACATACCCTTTCTCTTCGAGCTGCTGAATCTCAAGAGAGGGTCCACCGGCCCTAGCACTTACTGAAGAGGAACCATTGACTCATCCATCTTTGAACATGAGAGCTCCAAAGTCCTTTACAGGATCAGCCCTCATGGCCTACAACTTCCACTCTTGGTCCTTAAAGAGAAAACCTGCAAGGAATGTGAACCTGTACGGAATGTGATGAGTACATAACCTACGAGGAATGTAGTGAGAGAAGGGTAAGTATCTAAGGCGTACCAACTTTCTTTGAAACACTCCATCCTATTGGTACCAATGCCCTATCACCATCAGAAGCCCAAGCTCCACCGATGAACATGAAACGAGACTTCCAACTATGGCAGTTGGAGGGCAGTCCAGTAACCAACTTGCCTCTCCTCATGGTAAAATAGTACCATCCTCGGTTAGGAGCAGGAGTCTCACTCGGGTAATAAGCTGGGTGAAACTCGACAGGAGAGGCATCTTCATGATGCACCTTCCTCCACAATACTAGAAAGTCCAGTAAAACTCTCCACCCATTGGGTGCCAATCACCACCCTGGTGTCAATGAGAAATAATGGAGAACACGGCAGACCATCTAGGAGATCCAATTTGTGCCCACGGTCCGATTGAGCCTGGTTCTAGAATCAAGAAATAGTGTACGCGGGGCACTTGTGGTAGTGATGGTCCAGTTTTTTCAAGTGTAACTTCTCAAAAATAGATTTCTCCAGGCCTCCTTGGTTATGGCTCACGCCCTCACAACAAAAAACATCGAGCAAAGGTAGCCCTTGATGATGATGGGTCTAAAGTGAGTACTATTTCTAACACTTTAAATTCAGATGCTAATATTTTACGGATTGTCTATCTCTGCTCTGCTCTCAAGTAGGCTTCCTATTTCCAACTCAATGGCTCTCTCATGGGTCACCAAAAGCTTGGCCTATCTCTGCTCTGCTCTCAAGCAGGCAGCTTATCTCCAACTTAGCGGCTCTCTTGCGGGTTGCCAAAAGCTTGGCCTATCTCTGCTCTGCTCTTAAGTAGGCAGCCTATCTCCAGTTTAGCGACTTTCTTACGAGTCGCCAAAGGCTTGACCTATCTCTACTTTGCTCTTAAGTAGGCAGCCTATATCTTCAGCTGAGCGACTTTCTCGTGGGTCGCCAAAAGCTTGGCCTACCTCTGCTCTTCTCTTAAGTAGGTAGCCTAAACCTACAGCTTAGCGACTCTCTTATAGGTCGCCAAAAACTCGGTCTCAAAAGGTGCAAATTTCTCACGAGTAATCCTCAAACTCTGTCTTTGCTCTCACGCAAACAACTTGCCTATCTCTCTAGGTCATTTGCAACCCGTGAAACTTTGAATGTCAACAATTAGGCCTCATCCATTTGGCACTGCCACCTCGTCACATGCAGCCTGCTTGACCAACACCTCGCGAGGCTCACCCAACGCCCCACCTATGCGCCCAGCAACTGCAGTAGCCCCTCCAACGCACCTAGAGCAACGCAGTGTAGTAGCCGCTCTTGCGCACCTAGCCAGTGTGGCAGAGCTTCTTGCGTGCCCAACTAGTGCAATAGCCCCTCCTGCGCGCCCATCTAGCAGGTCCTCCTCACCATTGCACAGAAAGTGGTGCCCAGGTCTCCATCGGACAGCCCCTGTGTGTGGAAAGTAGTAGGGCCTAGCGGGGTCTTCGCCTCCACTCCGACGTACAATGCCTCCCTCTCCCCTCTGGGGACCACACCATTTTCTTCGAGTTCCCCACCAAGATTCGCAAACCTCTACACATTTTCTCCACTAGTCGAGAGTTCAACCAAATGCTCCCTTCTCCAAGTTTCATTAGACATAAGGCATTGGGGGGCAAATGATAGGCCAGACTGAACGCATGTTACGGGCCCAATCTTAATTAAGAACTCAAACTTATAAAGATCCAGTATCTAGTCCAAAGGGGTCCACACCTGGTTAAGCTCACCAAGGGAGTAAGTAGGGTCTCCAAGTGCCTCCTCCTAGCCACCTTGGAGTAAAGGTCATCCAAGAGCCTCCTCCTAGTCACCTTGGAATAAAGGTCATCTAAGAGCCTCCTCCTTGGAGTAAGGGTCATCCAAGAGCCTTCCCCTAGCCATCTTGGAGTAAGGGTCATCCCAAGAGCCTCCTCCTAGCCACCTTAGAGTAAGGGTCATCCCAAGAGCGTCATCCACGCCGCCTTAGAAGAAGTCAACCAGCGCCTCATCCTTTAATTGAATCTTATGGATAGCACCGTAACTACCTCATCCGTTGAGAAGAGGTCGTCAGTTCCACCAGATTAGCTATTTAGTTACTATTAAGTCACCTCAATATGTTAAGAGACGACTATAAGTTGGAAGCCCCACCAATACTTGGGGGTAAATCACACTCAATTGAGCACATCTCTTCTCTCCCTCTCTAAGCTTGTAACTCTAAGCTCTCCCTACGCACTTGAGCCAATAATATACCCGGCGACCTAGCCATTCAAAGTGGACGTAGGTCACGTTGACCGAACTACTATAAACCTTGTCTTTTTTCTCCTTACTTATTTACTGCATTTAATACTGTTTACTTGACAGGTGGTGTACAAACCAATTTGTGCATCATCATTAGTGTCCACCTGAAAAACTAACCACAAAATACACTATCATTAACTCATTTACTAAAATAACTTCCTAATAATTACTTTTAATATTATATACAAATATATTAAAAATGTGTACATAACATATTACTATAGTTTGGTACCCAGGCTTGAAGTATAACAAAATTTTATGTAAATGTCTAACATGTATTGAATATATTTATGCAATGTAGACTATGGAATCGAATCCTAACCATTACCCCAGCTACAATTTCAAATCTTATGAGAACTGCTACAAAAAATTAATTTTGTCAACTTATGGGCTGCAATGATGCATCCCCTGTATAAAATGTGTGCTTACTTGTGGTATGGCGAATATGTGAACAAATCAATGGAATCAAGCACAAACTTTCATAGCCCTTCTTCCGCTTATGTACGTTACTCTTTCTCCCATACACGCAAACACAAACCCGTAATAAAAAATTAGTACATTAAGTACACAAACCCGCAATCAAAAATTAGTACATTAAGGACTCGTTTGGTTGTCGTATTAAAATTGGATGGCTTAGATAAAACTACAGTCTAATATAATACAGATGGATTAAAGACAAAATTAAATATGATATTAAAATAATATGTAATTTTATCTAGTGTTTAGTAATACACAATATAAACGTTGGATAATAGTTATTTAATCCAATTGATTATTTGATTAAAGAATTATTTCATCGTATTAATATTGAATTAATAAAAATACTGGCAATCAGTGTTTGTTAAATTGAGGACAACTTGAATTTATCACTTGGGGGTTATAATAATAAATATGTAGAATAATACGTTTGAGTTGGATTATAATACCATATCTTTTAGTGGTATTAAAAAACCTCCATAATACAGGTCTGTCGTATAAAAAATATACGATGAATATACGATAAGTATATATTTTTGAAATTAATACGATATCAAATTTGCTTACCAAATAAAATATTAAATTCGATTAAATAAAAAATAGTACAATCCAATATTTAATCACACTACAAAAAAGATGAAAAAGTCTGACATTTAATTTCCGACGTTTACCATAAATGCCACCAAAATTGACATTTTATTAATAAAATTAATAAAAAAAACAAATTTTCCTGCTTAGTTTCCGGCGTTTAAGTTAAATGCCACAAATTATTAATAAAAAAATATAAAAAAATATTTCTCTTAATTTCCGACGTGTAAGTTAAACGCCACAAATTCTAAATTAAGAATAATAAAAAGCTTTTTCCCCAATCTCTCGACCTCTCTCTCTCTCTCTCTCAGACGAACTCATCAGAAACTGAACTCATCAAATGCCTAATCTCTCGACTTCATTTTCATTTTTTCCTCTATGTTGCAAACTTCATTGATTTTTTTCCAGCGGAACTCCATTGATTTTTCCCTGGCGATTGCGACATCCTTCTCTCTCCAGATCTATGAGATTCACATACTCAATCACTCTCTGTTCAAAGTCGAATCTCATAAACACTCTCTGTTTAAATTCACTCGAACACTCATTCGAGACTATCTCAGGCGACAGGCAATTCCGTCTACCTCAGGCAGCTCCAAAGTCTCCGGTGATTATCCAACTGAGTATGTTTTAATTTTGTGAATCTGAATTTGAATACGCATATTTAAATTACTGGTTTGATTACATATTTTCTACTTTCTCATCTCTCTCCCTGCCTCCCTCCGTCTCATTCAGGCAAATCTCACTCATACACCTCCCCACCCTCCACCTGTTTGAGAAAATGCCTGAAAGAATTTGGTGTTGATTTGGTCTCAATGGCAAGGAATATACTTTTCATCAAATCATCAGTGGCTGCTCCTTCCTCTGAAATCAGATAAATCTCTTTCCTCCCAAGCATTCTAATTCTCATTTCTCACGACTTCTTCACAGAACAAAATTGCTCAGACTGCATTGTTCCATACAGACTCCCTTATTGGTTCTCTTCTAGTAAGATGAGATTCTCACATGTTCTACACGACCTCGATCTGAATTTTTTTTTTCTATATATATTGGATTGTTCGGTTAGTAAACTTTAATGCTATGGTAGATATAGTATTTTGATTGTATTGCTTTTCTTTATCTTTTAATTAGCTCCCTTAGATGAGTTGTTAGTTAGTAAGTGTATGAATTGGCGATATGCTTTAATTTTTTACTTAATTTGTTTTGTTTTGTTTTCTGGTCTGAATTGAAGTAGGGGCATTTGCTGCTGTTTTGCTTAATCTCCGCATAATCCAGAATTCTTGGGATTGATTTTTAATCTTCTGTTACCAAGAAGTTAATCATTAGCATACAAATATTTTAATTTCAGAAGAAAAAAAAGTTTCATAATCTCGCAATTTGTACCAAGGATTTTTTTTTATCATATTTGTTGTTTTTACCCCCTTGTGACTGTATTAAAGCTGCTTAGTTTGATTTTCCATCTCATAAAATTGTTCTTTTCTTGTTTATTCCATTGCACACGAATTAGGAACAGCAGCACTGTCAGCAAAAGAACCGGAGGGTCTCCCATTTTGCGCCATTCGATATGCTCTGACCGGTATATTTGGTTCTCTGATTTGCTCAATTAAGGCAGTCGGGCAAAGCTTGCTTGCAGAATTCACTGCCTTATATGGTCTTGTTGAGAGTTCTTGTTAAGTCTTTGATTTTGAAAGGCATATGTGCCTTGCTTTTATTTTGTTGTTTTGTAAGGCGGCTTCTGGTATATTTGCATGTTTTGTTATCTTCAGTCTATGTTGAATTTTCATGTTTTGGTTGACGATAAAGGCTAATGCATTTTGGCTTGGGTAGTGTTGATTTGTTTGCATTTTTGGAAGAAGGAGGGCAGCTATGACGAAGTCTTTGGACTGATTGATGGTTGCAGGCTGATATTTATCTGTTTTATAAATAAATAAAATTTCTATTTAAAAAAAAAAAAAGATTACCGGCGTTTAATGCCGGAAAGTATTTGCTCAGAAATAATAATTACTGACGTTTAAATAAACGCCATAAAATAGCTCCGGTAACCGAAATTTTACAACGAAGTCATCGATTAAATAAGCGTCGCATTAGCGTTTAGCAAACGTCACTTTAGTTTTTATTGCGTTTAATTATACGTCGATAATATTTTCAACGGAAGTTTCGACGGCGTTAAAAAAAATGTCATTTTTATATTTAGCGGCGTTTATTAAACGCCGGTAAAAGTCATTTTTTTTGTAGTGTCCCCTCATAATACATTTACCAAACGAGCCTCAACTACACAAACCCACAATCGAAAATTAGTACATTAAGTATAGGTTTGCATTAGCATATTACGTAGTCAAAATATTTTTGAACTGTAAATTGTTTCTTCAATTGTAATTTTTTGGGTCTCACCAAGTTCCATAATCAGTGGAAGAGTCGAAGATTCACGAAGACATAGTAGAACACTTTGATCAATGAAGGTAGTTTTGATCCATTTTGGCTGGTGTGTAACAATCCTTGTAAGTGGCATTTTTGTAATTGACAAAATTCTGTGATTTCCATGAATAAGTTGGTTGAAATTGATGGCAAATGTTTTGAAGATTGAAGAAGACTAAGCGGATTGAAATTAGGTACTTAAAAATTGGATTGAAGATCTATGAAAAAGTTCAACCTAAACTAATGACAATCACACTCCGATTAGGTTGGGTAAGTTTACCTAGTCACCTTAGTTGATCACAAGCTTAATTGATTAAATTGATTTGACAATTGATTTATGTGATGTATACCTTGTCTAATACTTTTTGTATGAAAAATGTAATTTTTAAACGAAAATCAAGGCTCAAGTATAGATTACAATCGAGCGAGATGATATTTTTGTATGTTGCTCCTTAGATGGTGGTGATCAAATCTATCGGTATCAATTTTCAGTTGAGGTACAAGGTAATATATAATATTTTATTGTCTTCAAATATTTTTGCAAAAAATATCCTATTCATTATCTCAAAATTTGAATTCCTACTCGCAATCTCTAATTAGTATAAAATTCTGTTAGTTTTTTGAACTTGCCTGTGTTTTGGGCTAATTATTTTATGAATGATTAGTACATGTACGAAGTACACCAAGGGCATATTTTGGAAAATAAGATTGTTGCTCTATGAGGTGTGATTATGGCCCTGCAGAGTGTGATTAATCGGTTTGAGTTTTGGTTTATACCTAAGTATTACTTTTCATATTACCAAAATAAACTGAGTATGAAGCTATCTATGATAAATAGTTGATTTATCATATTTGATTCATGATACTACAATTTTTTTATTGCCTATCATTTGAGTTATTTGATATTCGATCACTCATACTTTTATTGTTGAGCGTTTTCTTTTATGTTGTATTGTATATTTCCTCGCTTAATCAAATTTTCAGGATGATTGAGAAAAAAATGACCAAGATTGAGATATCAATAATTGAAACTTTGCAACTTTTGTCTTCAATATTGTAATGCATAGTTTGAGGAGATTCATATGTATTTCGAAGACTCTATTACCAGTTATTTTTATTTGTTGTTAAGGTCATTAGGGCTCTAGTTTGTGCATTTGAAAGTATATTTGTTAAAAATAGTCAATTAAGTTTATCGATTTAACTCATCCAAGGAAATCGGGACATTTATAAATTGGTATCAAAACTTAGGCTTCAGATCTTACATGGGTATTGTGGGTATAATATTGGCTAAGTTACCATTGATAGAATGTATATTTTAGATATCATACCAGAGTGCATTGTGACAACAAATTAGCTTATCAACTGTAAATTTTAAGGACGAATTTTTTTTAAAGAATAGTAGATTGGAACATCGCATTTTGATTAAAAAAATAATAATAGATTATATTTATTTAAAATGTTAGAGTTTAAATTTAGAATTTGACCATGATGAGAGTCTGATGTTATTTAGAGGTCAAATTATCAGTACTTAAATCCCTAAAGAATACTTGTTTAATGCAGGTGAAGAATGTAAGCATAAGGTGTGATAAGGAATTAAATAAAAAGAAGAGATGGACACTTATTCATTAGCATGGGATGTGAGTAGTTTAAGCAAAAACACATGTATGTGCATGTATTACTTAATGAAGAAGTTAGAAAGTGACTGAGTGTCGGTGGTACAAGTGTTAGGACGCTTGTCCACTTCCATAAAGGTGTGGTTTGTGGGAAATGATTAAAGAAACACTTGTCTATGAGTTGTTTTGGGGCTATAAAGGAGGAGCTCACTGCCTATAGAATGAAGCTGGAGGTGGCAACTAGCTGTAAAAAGAAAAATAGATGGCCACTTTGTGAACATATAAGGTGTCCAGAGGAAAAGGATTAATGGCCTCCAAAGACAGATATGCCCACCTTTTTGGTGAGTCATGTGGACGCATGTCCGTGGAATGAGTTGTCTCTTATGTAGGACTATTTTATTAGAAAGAAGATAAAAGAAAAGAGAAGGGAGGAAATTTAGAAGAAAGAGAAAGAAAAGAATAAAGAATAAAGGGAAAGTGAAATCCATTAAGTTTTCAAAATTAATGGTGAAACGAACTCCAATCGAGATGAAATTTGTGTATGTTACTTCATAGATGATGGTAATCAAATCTATCCGTATCAATTTTTGGTTTGAGGTACGGGGTAATATACAATATGGTTCTGCCTTTAAATCTTTTTGCAAAGATTTTCCTATTCATTATCTCAAAATTTGTATTCGTACTCGCAATCTCTGATTAATATGAAATTCTATAAGTTCTGTAGAGTTGGTATGTGTTTTCGTCTAATTACTTTGAGATTGATTGGTACATGTACGAAGTGTACATAGACCATATTTTGTGAAATGTGGTTGTGGTCTTGCGGGATGTGATTGACCGATTTGAGTTTGAACTTATGTCTAAGTTTCACTTGTCATGTTACCAAGATGAACAGAATATGAGGCTATTTATGATAAATAGTTAATTTCTTATATTGAATTCATGTTTTCACAATATCTTTGTTGTCTATCGATTGAGTTATTTTATATTCAATCATTCGTACTTTTATTATTCAACATATTTTTTCTTGTCATATTATAGATTTTTACGATTAATTAATTTTTCAAGATGATCTAGAAGGAAATGAAAAAAATTAAAATATAAAGGACTAAGGTTTGTAACTTCTATTTTAAATATTGTAATACATAGTTTGAGTAGATTCATTTGTATATTTTGGAGACTCTATTACCAGTTATTTTTAATTATTTTTTAGGTAGTTAGAGCTCTGACTTGTGTATTTGTAGATACATTTGTATAGTATTGTCAATTGAGTTATCGATTTAACGCATCCAGGGAAACTAGGGCGTTCCACTCCTGGAGAAGCTAGTTGTTAGAGTGGGACTGATGTTGGCACATGTCTTGAAGTGGAGACCCTCTTTGGCCCGTAGGCCACATCAAGAGGTTGGGCGATGGACTCAACAGTCAGTAGTGTCTAGCCCCTCTTAGTTGTAGCATGAGAGGCCCATACCAAAGATTCATCCACTCGTCATTGAGGGGTGGGCAGTCGCAAGGTGGAATGGCGATAGATGGAGGAGAGTAAGTCGTCTTTGGGGGAGTTGACTCCCTATCATGGCTATGTTTGACACTTCGCTCCTCATGAGGGCCAACCTCTCTGGCTCAACGATGATCTTGAGGTGGGTTTTGTTCACCTTGGACACGGGGGTGGCGTTGGTGGTGATTACGGTGTGGCAGAGTGTCGACGTGCCCCTGGCCCCAAGTTGGGTAACTGGTATAAGATAGCCAACTCCTCTAGACTCTCAAGGGCATTTGGGTTTGTCTATGGATTGAAGGACGGGTAAGTTTGAGCATGTCCATTCGCAATCCGATTCAGTATCCTTGTAGTCCCGCTCACTCTTGGATCCCTCAGTTTCTTCTTTCTCTTCCTCCTCAGGGGCCTCCTCTCCTTTGAGCTCAGGTTTGTAAGAGAATGGAAGTTGAGAATATTTTTTTTTTTTTTATCTGGGGATGACTTCCAAGAGAACCTGGGTAGCTCAATTGAAACAGTCATTGCCCAAGTACCTCCAAACTTTCTCGAGATCCACAGACAAATTGCCACGAGTATGGCAGGCCAAGTGTAAAGGTATCCTGCTAACCTGACTCCCTCATCACTTTAGGGAACCATAGGCCTTCATAGTTGGGCTCTTCTCCTCTTTCCCATCGTAGCAAAATGATCTCTTCCTAGTCCATGTTGACTTATAAGAGGACGTTCAAAGCCACCAACCCCATGATTATTTTGAACACGTTGAAGCAACACTAACTGGGGAATAGCTAAAAGTGCCCTATAAATCTAAGTATAGGGGGAAATAGGAAACCTAACTGCCCCTCCATCATGACCTAAGTGTAGAATGGCATCTCTTAGAGTCACATGGATTTCACTATCTATATTAGACTGCAACATGATGGCATTTACATCAACTCTTATATGATATTTTGCCCTTAAATGGGTAACTAACTAGCACTATCTAGTTAGGTCTTTCCAAGCCTATCCTGCCCCCTCGGCCTATTGGGTCTGGTCAATCTGGCCATTGCTTTACAGGAAAAAGAAGAAAAGAAGGGGGAAATCAAATGACTTACTAGATTTGCTACAGTTGAAGTTTATCCTCCTTGTCAAAGGAAGCCTGCGCTCTTGAAATGATCTGAGAAGTTCAA